CAGAGTGTGCTGAGCACTTACCGCCGGCTGCTTGGCCTCTGTAACTTGAGATGCTCACCTGCTTGCTGAAATATCCACAGTCCCTCAGACACACGGGGAGGCGGATGTAGGTGCCCCACATCCACCCAGCCCTTCCTCTGCACCCAGATTGTGTGGTGCAGGAGACCCAAATAGGCTGGGCTCCGGGGATAGGTTGTGCATGCCAATTTTCTGGAAACTCCACAGTTTTCCAAGGCAGCTGCAATGGGGAGGTGGATGTAGATGCCTCAAACCCACTTATCCACTTCACTACACCGGGAACCCTGGAGGGTCCCGAACAGTCTGGGCTTTGGGCAGAGTGCACTGAGCACTTTCTGCAGGTCGCGGAGCCTCTGGAAACTGTGATGCTCCCCTGCTTGCTGAGATAGCCACAGTCTTTTTCGTTTGTTTTTTTTTTTTATTGGTACCAGTGATGGAACTCACAACTGCCTGCTTACAAGGCATGCGCTTATGCCGCTGAGCTAAATCCCCAGCCCCTCTCTGTTTACTTTTATTTACCAGGCTTTGTTCTTTTTCACAGCCTGGTTGTCCAGCTAATTGGTGCTCCTTCTTCCCTTTGTCTGTGGGGATAGGAAACAGAGAGTAGGCTTTGGAGTTGCCAGGTTACCCTGCACAGGGTGCTGAATCAATAAATATGCAGTCTAAAAAATGTGAACACTTAATAGCATACATATCAGAAACCATATTCTTATGGAGATTAAGTTAGCTCATACTGATAATAATTACTAGAATGGTTGATTTCACTGAGTTATGTCAATTAGTTATGTTGATATTGACTCAATTCATTATTAATGACTAGCTTATTTTATGAGTACAGCTAAGCATTTTTGAGGAGTTTATCATAGCTGACTAGTTAGGCCTAATTCCTCAAGAACTTTAGGAAAATCTAACACCAATACTATTATTCAAACTCTAATGACATAGGAAGAGAAACAGTTATTCTTGGGTCACACATAATCCTGAGTCCAAAACAATAAAGAAACTCAGCCAAAGAAGTAAGTTAACAGCCAGTCTCTTTACTGAAGGTCTGTCTGAAAATTTATCAATAAGGTATTGGCAAGTAAAATGCAGCAAATCATCAAGAAGGGCATACATCATGAATACGTGGGATTTATTCCATACATGGAGGAATTGTTCACATATGCAGATCTGTAAGTATACCACAGAAAATAGAAGAAAAACAAACAAACAAATCACATGATCATCTCAGTAGATTCAGAAAAAACATTTGGAGAATCCAACATCCATTCACCATAAAATTCTTAAAAAAGTAGATTTGAAAGGTTTTCATTTTAATTGGATAAACCCATCTATGACAGATCATTGACCAACATAGTGTAGAAAATCTGAAAGTTTTCCCTCTCAAATTAGGAATAGGTGTGTCTGTTATCACCACTATATTTCAATGTAGTTCTGAAAACGTAAGTCAGAGATTCTTATTTGGAAGTTGCATGATCCTCTACATTGCTGACTCAAAAAACTCCCTCTAAAGAGTGCTAGAATTAACAAACAAATTCACTAGCACAGCAAGACAAATATTCAACACTCCAAAACCAGTGGTCTTTCTGCTTTCATAAAAGCATCAAGAAAAATTAAATACTAAGAAATTGTCCGTAGCAAGGTAGTAAGAGAGCTGTACAAGGAAAACCACAAATCCTTGGTAAAGAGATCAAAGGGGACATCAGAAGTGGAAACATATTCCCTGCTGTTGGGCAGGCAAAATTAATATAGGCAAAATAGCTTTACTTCCAAAATCACCATACCGATAAAATGCCGTCCCAATCAAAATATTGATAAAGTTCTTCACAAAACTGGAGAAAGTGGTCCTAGCATTCATATGGCACCGGAAGAGAACTAGAACAGCAAAAATGATTCTGGGTAACTTGACCAATGCAGGGAGCATCACAATCTAGTACTTGCAGTTATACTACAGAGCTACATTGATTAAAAATAGCAGAACATTTGCCAAAAAAACCAAACAAACAAACAAACAAACAAAAAATCCAGCAGACTTGTGGGTCACTGGAAGGTAACAGAAATGAATTGAGTAATATTTAGCTAGCTTCGGCTGGGTATTTAGCTCAGCGGCATAAGCGCCTGCCTTGCAAGCAGGCAGTCGTGAGTTTGATCCCTGGTACCGATAAAAATGAAAAAGACAAAAAAAAAAAATTAGCTATCTTACTTTTGGCAAAAGTGCCAGGTCCTTTTTGCTAGATGAAAGATAGATTTTTTACCCAATTCTACTGGAAAAACTGGCTTTCTATATGTTCGACATTTTGAGGATTGAGTCTAGATCCATTTCTCTTACTATGTGCTATGCTAAAATCAGAATGGGTCAAAGATCTCAGTATTAAATTGAAATACTTACTTTGCTTGAATACCATGTAAATGGATAAAACAAGCATAGGCAAAGAATTTCAGAGCAGAATCCCAGTTAAACAAAAAATAATGGAAATATTTAATAGCTGGGTCATATCACATTTCTGCATAGCAAAGAAAGCCAACAGAATGAAAACATGATTAGCAGAGTGGGAAAATTTTTTGCCACTTCAAAAATTAGAACTCAGAAAATAAGACCTCTAGAGCTGGGCTTGGTGGCACCCGCCTGTAATCCCAGCATTGGGGAGGTTGGAAGGAGGATCATTATGAGTTCAAGACCAGTCTCAAGGTACAAAGTGAGATCAAGGCCAGCCTGATATACATAGCAAGACCCTGTCTCAAAAAGACTTTCTCCTTGTCTAGCAAGTGTGAGATCATGAGTTTTATCCCTAATTCCAACAAAACAAAACAAAACCAAACCAAAAACTCCAAAAAATCCTCTCCCCCCACAAATGAGCCCTCCTTTCAACTTGAAAGTGAGTCAAAAATAGGCCTCTGATATGAATAAGGAATTTTCAGATAAAGAAGTTCAAGAAGTACTTGAAAAATGTTCAACATCACAGGTCATTTGAGAAATGCAAATTAAAAGAATAATGAAATTATAGTTTACTCCATGAAGAGTGGCTATGATCACGAATTCCAATAGTAATAAATGTTGATAAGGCTATAGGGGAACAGTAATTCTTCTTCATTGTTGATGGAAGTGAAAACTGTAATACCAGGATGGGGAAATTAATATAGAGTCCTCAAAGAACTAAAAGTAGAAGTAGAAATTTGGCAGAGCTATTGTTCTGGTAGGTATCTTCCCCCAAATGTATCACTTCTATAATAGTGCAATGACACATGGATACCTCTGTCTATAGCAGTGCAATTCAAAATACCTAAATTTTGGAAAAAATCTAAGTGCCCGTCGTTGAATGAGTAAAGGAAATGTAATATTAATGTACCTTGCAGTGCTATTTAATTATAAGGTAAGAAAAACTTGAGTCATTTGTAGAAGAATGAGTGTACCTTGACAACATAGTGTTGTATGAATTCAGACAAAAATTAAGTATCACGTGGTGTTTCTTACATGAAAAATTCAATCTATAAGAAAGTACAAAGTAAAAGACTAACAATAGGGATACACATGAAAGAAAAACTATCATGGTCCAGCATAGCCCATATATCTAAAAGTGCATCATCATTTAATATAATTGTCTTACGTGATTGTTATGTTTTTTGGCACATTAGTCTTGGTAATAATTATCATTGACTTGTTAGAGACATAAAAGAAATAAATGAAACTGATACTGGCAAAAAAAAAAGATTAAAAAAAAAGAAGTGAGATATATTATACACATATGCCAGTTCCCAATAATGAATATAATTAGAATGTAGTACAGTCATATGCTAACAAATTAAAAAATAAATAACTTTTTAAAAGTTGTCATTCTTAATTATTTCAATTGCTGAAAATCACATTTTGTCCTGAAAGTTGAAAATTTGTCAAAGCTTGGTATGTTGACATGTGGAATCCCAGCACTTGGGAGGCTGAATTAGGAGGCTCTCTGTGAGTTTGAGGTCCAAGAGGACTACAAAGTGAGTTTGAGGGCAGTCTGAATTGCAGAGTGAAACCTTGTTTTAGAAAGCCAGCCAGCCAGCCAGCCAGGAAGCAAGCAAGAGAAGGAGAGAAGGAAAAGACATTTTCCAGAATATTTCATAGAGCATTTTACAGAGTTAACTAAATTAAAAATATCCTGGTGGCAATTTTCCTCTAAGTAGTATACATAATACAGATGTCAAATATACCTCTTTTTTGGGTCCTAATTTATTATTGTATTTTAGAATTGTAATATCTGATGTTTTCACTGTTTATACACAGTTCCAAAAGGTCCACATTGTTAGGTTTATGTATAATTAAGTTAAAGCCATAAATGTTTTACTTTTTAATTCCCGTACTTTATTTTTGTAAGTTTACACATTTTAAAAGAACATTTATATTTTAAGTATATGTTTAAATAAAGATTATTTGATATAGCTTTATAGGTTTTAAGTGACCTAAATTTTAGTGATATTGAGGAATTAGTAAAAGCAGTTATGTTTGATTCATGTTACTACATAGTATTATCATTTCATAAAATTATCTAATAAGCTTTTAATGAAGTTCATATTAGTAATAAATTCCATGTTCTAAAAAAAACTCAACTTTCCATAATTTAAAAGATGAAGTAGGCAAACCATGTCTTTTTTATCATTTTTGAAGTTTAATGTCTTTTCTACTCAAAGATAGAAAATTTAGTGGATTTTTTTTTTGTTATTTGGAATTTTAATATTTTTTAATATTAGTGTTTTAATATCTTGAACACTTCATGGATGAAATAAAATCTTCCTCTTTCAATTTTCACTATTTCATGAAAATATTTTGTAATATTTCACATTTCAACAAGTTGTAAATTGTAATAACTTTATTTGAGTGCTAAGTTTAGTTGTGCATTGTAGTTTCAGTATCTTATTGAGGACCTTGGGAGGCTGAACTAGAAATACGTATCCTTTTGCAACTATGAATTTAATGTATTAATATTTTCATTTTCTTCTTACAGCATTTTCAGTTAGCACTAATTGACTGTAATCCTTGTACTTTGTCCACTGCTGAAAGTAAGTATTTTTAATTATATTACTCGTTTTTTCTTCTGAGCAAGACAGTATCAAATACATTTTTATGTTTGTTTCTTTTAGTAAATTGGACCAGTGATGGGACAAGTGTGTGTGATTCAGTGACCTAAACTATTAAGAGCCAGTTTATGTGGGCGCCTTTTTTTATTTAAGAAAATTAACACAGTGGAACAGTAGAAATATCTTTTGTTTTTTGGAGGGAGGATCTTTTTTTTTTTTTTTTGTCTTTTTCCTTTTTATCGGTACCAGGGATCGAACTCACAACTGCCTGCTTACAAGACAGGCGCTTATGCCGCTGAGCTAAATCCCGAGCCCCTGGAGGGAGGATCTTGCTGTGTTGTTTGGGGTGACCTTGAACTTACTCCTTAACTGTGGCTATTCTCTTGCCTCAGCCTCCCAAGTACTGGGATTACAGGCTTTGTCATCATGGCCAGAAATGTATGTTTTCCTACAGAGCAGTAGTAAATATTGCATACAGTACCCCAGATATTATCATAGTATATTATTTTCCAGATACTATTATAAAATATTGTTTTTTGTATTGTCACTTTTTTAATTAGAAAATAATTTCTCTCCCTTTAGTGTCTTAAGATTTGTGTTTTTCCTTTCATGTTACAAAAATCACATTTTTAAAGCAAAGTTAAAAACAACATGGGAAAAGTACTGTAAAGATTAATGAGACATAGAAATTTAAAATTAAATTAGTGCTTTTGAAACTAAGAAAATGACAGCAAATAATAGTTCTGAGAAGAATCTGTTAATGTGAAAGTTAACCTTATATGATTGTCTTTTAGAATAATAATGTTTATTCTAGAATTTTAATATCAGTATTCTGGAGAAAAGCTTAATGTAAAAACCTTTGTCCGTATTTGTGAATTTTAATGTATAATTAAAAATTGCTGTGATGAGCATTTTCCAAGTTCTGTGTTATGTTCTTCTTTGAATGTACATTTAAACATGAAATATAAAGAGTTTTTACTTTGTAAAAGATAACAATGTATTTATGGGATTGTAAGGTCTGTCATTGGGTCTGCCCACAGATCTGGAGTAAGTTTAGGTGGTTTCAAGATAATAATTATGGCTAGTCATCCTTTCTTTCTTATCTTCAGTAGATTGATGTAAATATGAAGAAATAAGATTCTTGGTTTTGCCTTTTTTTAAAAAAAATATATAATCTAGTTTTCCTCCAGTCTGAGGCAGAGTCAAGGTGAAATTTTATTAAATGGGCATGTTATGGTAAGGAAAGCTGTTTGAGGAAGAAAAAATGATAAGGGAGGAAATTATCAATATATGTAGGTAAAGGAGTAATAGTATTTCTGAAGATTTGGTTGTATTTTTTAATATTGTAGTACTCACTTACATTGAAAGGAAAAATAGTTCTTATACTTAAATGACTTATTTTTGATATTTATGAAGCAGTAGCCTGCCACAAAATTCCTTAAGTTTAATTTTGAGTCATTGTCTCTTTTGCGAAATGGAATTTACAGATATATAATACAGTTTTCTTGACTTTAGCTAGGAGGATGTAATAGAAAATTTAAGAACATGTTTAAGGGTTAGCTTTTTCCGTACTTTCCATGGGCTTTACTGAGCCACAGTGTCATAAGAGCTAAGTTTAATAATTGTTAATTTTATTCAGCTTCTATGAGGATTTTCTTTATGGCATCAAGAAAGAATTTATTTGAGTGAAGAGTAGAGTGAATAGAGAAGAGTAGTAAAAAAATACCAATGTTATGAGATAGTCACAATGGATTCTGTGATGTTTCTTAGAGAGAGTCATATTTTGTTTATAGTTTTGAAAGGTTTGACTGTAAATAGAAATCTCAAAAGAAGATACTTGTTTTGGTAAGTAAAGGCTACAAAATTTATATGTGTGGTCTCTAGTTGTAATAATATGCTGCAATTTATTTGTATTGATCAGTATTATTATCATTTTTCTTGAGTCATTGAGGAACTTAGTATTGAGATGATCTGCAAAAAAACCTAAATTATTCTAACTTTTAAGTTTTGAGTTGTTTCATTACAGTATAGTTGGTTGAACTTCTTTTCTGTTTTGTTTTTTGTCTTTCTGAGACAGAGTCTTGCTATACAATTCAGGATAGCCTTTAACTCATCTTTTAGCCCAGGCTAGTCTCAAACTTGCAGTGATCTTCCTGCTTCAGCCTCGAGTGCTGGGATTACAGGCATATGCCACCGCCCTCGACTATGTCCCCCAGCCCCTAGTTTTAAATCATCTAATTTTGAAGAATTGAGAGAAAATTTATTTGTTTGCAGTATCTTCATGTGTGGTTTTTTTTTTTTTTTTTTGGCGGGGGGGGTGCTAGCAGTCAAATTCAAGATCACATTCTTTCAGGCATGTACTGTGCCAGTGAGCTATATCTTCAGCCCTTACCTGTGACCTTTTAAAGAATTTTTAAGATGAAATTTAATGTAAAGGAAAGACATGTGCATTGAAGCATAGTTTTTCTAATTGCAGTAAAAGTACTTTTTCAATAATATGTATGAAGATATTTCAAAGTGTACCTCTTTACTATTTTTGACTTGATCATTGTGTTTAGGTTGTATATAATTGCTACCTTAAGTTGTATTGAAATTGATATTTTTCATGGTCTGTTACAGTTCAGTTTCATATTGCACATGTGTTTGAAATCCAAGTAAGTATTTTAATTTCCCTTTCTTAAATATAAGAGCTAACAAATACCAATACTTTCATCCATGCATGTGAAATAAAGTGAGTAACATATATGGCAGATTTTTTTTTTACATTTCTGCATATTATACTTTTATATGCATTTAGTTTTTATCCTTAAAATTCTGTTTGGTGTTTAAATTATTTAAGATAAATGGAATTTAAGGTTTTTTCAATACATATAAAGTGGTTTTAGTAGTATCTCACACTCTACATGTTGTTACTTATGAAGCATTGTTATTAATTTATTTCTGATTTGAAAGAGAGTCTTGCTGTGTACTTCAAGCTGGCCTGCATTCACTGTGTAGCCCAGGCTGGCCTTGAACTATCAGGTGATCCTTCTGCCTGAATGCTGGGATTATAGGTGTATGCCACCAGGACTGGCTGGCAGTGTTATGTAGTATGATTTTCTTGTATGGGTCATCTTAGTTACTTTTCTCTCATTGCTGAGACAAAGTACCCAGCCTGCAAAGTTAAGATTGGAAAGATTTTAACTCAGTTTATGGAGGTTGCAGTTAATCATCAGGTGGCTCCAAAGTGGGGGGTGGCATGGCATATGGACAAACATTCATGAGGGTGTAAGATAGCAAAAGCAACAAGAGCAAAAAATGTGTAGCAAGCCTCGTTCTGCCCTTTTTGCCTTATGCAGGTGGTGTCAGTTCAGTCAGTAGATTGATTTGGCAATCCCTCATCCTTTATTCCAGAACCCTGTATCCCACATTGAATTACGAATCAGTAACACACACTAGAGTCAGCTATGCCCAAAATATTTACCCCGTCACCATGAGCATATTAGGGGTGAGGGGAGAAATCCACACATAAACCAAAACTTACTGTTTTTTATGTATTTTGTCCAGTTTTTTTTAAAAGGATACTTATTTTTATAATAATGCATTGCCATGCGAGTGTTTTCTGTTTTTCTCTATGATTGGAATATCTCCCAATTATTTGAAATAACTAGTAGAAGTATGCCATTTGTTTTTAAAAGTCTAATTTTAGAATTTTTTCATGGTAGATTGTGTTACTACAGAGATATGCAAAGTTTTAAGGTCTGTGGTAGAAACCTGGGAAAAGAAACTTCTAGAAGGACAAAGAAATCATGTTTATAAGTAACTGAATATTTTGAATTTTAAGTTGGAATTATAACACATTTATTTCAGGGTAGAAAAAGCACTTTGTATGTGTATTAATCTGTGAGACATATTATTTCCTTCCTAACATAGATACAAGATAATGTGATAGAAGTAAAATAGATCTGCGATACAAGTTTATAACTCAGTCAGGAAAGATATTGGTATAGAACCAATAAATACAGATCTTTGGAAGACCCAACATAGAGACTATTTAAAAATTAAAACTGGTTTTCTTTACTCATCTCTTCCTACTCTCTGCAACTCTTTTTGAAAGATTATTGATATGCTCACAAATTGGGATTTTTTTTCTATGTTAAAATTAATTTTATTTTGTAAAATTTATTTAAAAATCAGTAACTATCTTATATGAAAACCAGAAATAAAATATTTCAAAGTGCTTCTCCTAACCTTGGTATATTTGTTTATTTTCATTTAAAATTGTTTAGTCCATTAATTTAGGAAGAATTATTTTAAATGAATTTTTATTTATTATGATAATTTGTGCATGTTAGTGTTTCAACTCTAAATGTCTATGAAACGTTTACAGTAAGTATAAATATTAAGCCAGAGTAACCACTGCAGTATCTTGGACTCCTTTTCTTTTGGCCCTCCCCCATTTCTTTTTATTTGATACAGGATCTCTGTGTAATTCAGATTGGTCTTGAATTTACTGCATAGTTCAAGCTGGCTTTAAATTCCTTGTGAGCCTCCTACCTCAGACTCTTGAGTACTAGTTTTTTTTTATTTTAAAGAGAAAATAAAAACAAAATTTCAAAACAAGATAGAGTGTAACATGGTTAATACTTGTTATCTTTACGTTAGTTCAGCACAGTACAAAATAGGAACTTAATTGTTAAACAGTAGCACAAAACTTTCTTTTCCATGAATTAAGAGAAATCAGTGTAATTATTTTAACTACCTTTTATATATGTATATATTTCATCTTCTCACACTAGGATGACAAAACAGTGTTTACACATGCAAGTCTGATTTATTTCACTTCTGAATATGGTCTCTAGTGCATCCATTTATTTAAAAAAGCCATGAGTTTATACTTCTTTATGTCTGAGCAGTACTCCACTATAGTAAAAATACCTCATCTTTTAATATCCACTCTTTGGTGGACGAATATTTGCCTTGTTTCCAATATCTGGCTTTGCAAATTGTGCTGCTTTTTTTAATAGGTGTACACATATACTACTGGGGCATGATGTTTTTAATGCTTCCAGAAAGGTATACAGAAAGGGAATAGCTGTAAAGTAAAACCTCCAATCCTACTTTTTTGAGGAATCTTTACACTGACTTCCACAGTGGCTCTTCCCACTGTCTCTCTCACCAAAAGTGGATAAGGTGTCCTTTTTCCCCACAGCCACTCCAGAATTTATTATTGCTTGATTTCTTGATAACAGCATTCTTTCTGGAGAGAGGTGAAATAGGAGTGTTGTTTGGATTTGCATCTCTCCAGTGACCAGTGATGTTAAACATTTTTTCACATACTTATTTGCTGTCAGTACTTTTCATCTGAGAAGTTTGTATTTATCTCCAATGCCCATTTTTGGGTAGGGTCTTTAAACTTGGGAGATCTGATTTTTTTTTAGCTGTCCAATTTTAATTTTTGGCATGTGCCGGGCCAGTTTTTCCAATGCCTACTCAAAAGAGTTCATCTGTCTTCAGTGAAAGTGTTTGATACTTTTGTCAAAATTCGCATTGCTTAGTATCTCTGGAAGGTGTTTCCCCCTCTTTGAATTTGTTCCATTGATCTTTTTATTTACTTTTTATTTTTAAATTCTACTTATTTTTATTTTAAAGAGAATAAAACAAAGCAAAACAAAAAGAGTAGGGCAGACTAAAACAATGTACATACCTCAGGATTTCAGAAAAAGAAAGCAAGAAATCAGCAGTGGCTACCATAATGTCTCTTGTTTTCTTTGAAACAGTTGTCCATAACTTCACACACAATAGTTTAGTACAAATCAGAAAAGTATAAAAGGAATTATAACATAAGAATGAGAGCCTTAAGGGCTTTCAAGACCAGACCCAGAGACATCAATAATGGCTACCATAATGTCTCTTGTTTTCTTCAAAACAGCTGTCCGTATCTTTATACATATTTAAATGAAATAATTGAAAACACACTAACCAATCAAAACCAACAATAAAAGCATTATTCGCTTTTGAACTAAAATGATAGGAAATCATCAGTGGCTATGATAGTGTCTCATTTTCTTCAGTGTAGATGTTCATGCTATCACACATAATAGAATCAATTTATGTAGCCCTTTAGGTGAAAGTCTAGGCATATATATTTGCCTATACATGTACATCTATCCTTTATGAGGGGGAAGAGCAAAAGAACAAACAAATAAGTATAAGAGCCTAGAACAATAACAATGCAGGCTTTCAAAACAAGTTGGTAGGGAAATAACAAATTTTGTTGTTTTGCAGAGTTATCTTCATAAGTCTTACTTAAATTATGAGATGTCATGCCAAATTGATCTAATCCTATGGATAACTGTTTTGTTCCAAGAACTAATAGAATTAATAGTACAATCATCTTAGTAATCTTAATTGTGTATATATGAATTTATATTTTATTTCTTTTATTTTCCTTGTTTTCTCCTTTTCCCTGTCCTGAGTTATTTGTTCTTCTTTGAGTAGTTTATTACAATTTTGCAATATTTACTGAAGATTTTGTATCTTATTTTCTCTTTTAATTTCTTACAAAGGGAGACAATATGGTATTTACATGTGTGAATTTGATTTCTTTCACTTACTAGGATGGTCTCACTTCCATTTTCATATAAAAGCCTCAATGTGATCTTACTTTATAGCTAAGTAGTATTCCAGTGTATAAAAACAGCACATTTGTTTTATCCATTCCTCAGTTGATGGGCACTGGGGTTGTTTCCAAGATTATCTATTACAGACCGGCAGCTATAAACAAGGATATACATGTATCACTATGGTATGAGTTTTCAGTTCTTCGGGAAATAGGCCCAGAAGTGGAATAGCTAATTAAATGGGACCTCCACACTGATTTCCTCAGTGGTTGCACCATTCTACACTCCCAACAACAGTGCAAAAGAGTTCCTTGTTCTCCAAGACTCTCCATCATTTGTTATTGGTGCAATCCTTCCTTCCTTCCTTCCTTCCCCACTTCCATCCTCACTTCCATCCTTCTTGCCTCCCCCTCCATTATTTCTCCCTCCATTATTTCCTCCATTCCTCTCCCCTCCCTGCCTCCCTCCCTCTCTCTTTTTCTTTCCTTCCTTCCTTCCTTCCTTCCTTCCTTCCTTCCTTCCTTCCTTCCTTCCTTCCTTCCTTCCTTCCTTCCTGTCTTTCTTTTTCTTTCTCTTTTTCTGTCTCTCTCTCTTTCTTCCTTCTTTCCCTTCTTTGTTTTCTTTCCTTTCTTTCCCTTCTTTGTTTTCTTTCCTTCCTCCCTCCCTCCCTCCCTCCCTCCCTCCCTCCCTCCCTCCCTCCCTCCCTCCCTCTCACCCTTTCTGGTACTGGAAATCACTAGCCAGGCAGACACTTGCGCCTTGAGATGGAATTTCAGTATGCTGTTAATTTGCATTTCTCAAATGACCAATGATGATGAACATTTTTTCACGTATTTATTTGTATTTCTTCATCTGAAAAGTAATGAAAATACAATTCGCAGGTGTCCATTTTTGGATTGGGTTTTTGAATTTCAGGGGCCTGATTTTTCTTTTTTTAATTCTCATATGTTCTTGATAGAAGTCCTTTGTCTGAGAGACCATTGACTAAGATTTTCTTCCCAACTCGTGGGTTTTCTTTTCACTCTGTTGGAGATTTCTTTTGACATGAGAAA